AGGGGGAGAGGGAGAGAGAGAGCGAGAGAGAGGGGGCAGAGAGGGGGAGAGGGAGAGAGAGAGGTGGCGGAGAGGGGGAGAGGGTGGGAGAGAGAGCGATCGAGGTGCTTGTGCACGCGGGGCGGGAGGCGAACTCTGGTGAGTGAGAGAGAGAGAGAGAGAGAGAAGGGGGAGAGAGGGGAGAGGTAGGGAGAGAGGGGGTGATAGAGAGGGAGAAAGAGCGGGAGAGAGAGAAGGCGAGAGAGAGGGAGAGAGAGAGAGAGAGAGCGATCGAAGCACTCGTGCACGCGTGACGGGAGGCGAACCCTGGTGAGTGAGAGAGACAGAGAGAGAGAGAGAGAGAGAGCGAGAGGCGGGGGGGAGAGAGGGAGACGGCGCTGGTCGATATATATATCTATATTAGATATTATATTATATTATTTGTTATATATTAGATATTAGATACCACGATATAGATATCGTAGACGCGCGCTCAGCGACGCATGCAGGCCGATGACCGTGTTGTTATTTGTCGTGTGCAGGTCACGTGATCATCGTGTATGTCACGCGCTACGAGCACCGCACCGACGACGACGACCATCCCGTCACCGTCATCCACTACGTCATCGAGGTCGAGGACAACAACGTGGTGCTGGAAGAGCCGACGCCCGCACAGCTGCAGGCGCGCCTCGACGAGGTCGTGCCCGGGTTCGGCTGCAAGCCGACGGTCTGCACCAGCGAGAAGGTGCGTGATTGCACGTGCTGCCGTCAGTGCTGCTGCCAGTCACTATCTGCGGACAGTTCTGTCGTCAGTTGCTATCTGCGTACAGTGCTGCGGACAGTGCTGTCGTCAGTTGCTATCTGCGTACAGTGCTGTCAGTCGCTATCTGGGGACAGAGCTGCCATCAGTCGCTATCTGCGGACAGAGCTGTAGACAGTGCTGTCAGTCGCTATCTGGGGACAGAGCTGTAGACAGTGCTGTCAGTCGCTATCTGGGGACAGGGCTGCCATCAGTCGCTATCTGGGGACAGAGCTGTAGACAGTGCCGTCAGTCGCTATCTGGGGACAGAGCTGCCATCAGTCGCTATCTGCAGACAGAGCTGCCATCAGTCGCTATCTGGGGACAGAGCTGTAGACAGTGCTGTCAGTCGCTATCTGGGGACAGAGCTGCCGTCAGTCGCTATCTGCGGGACAGAGCTGTAGACAGTGCTGTCAGTCGCTATCTGGGGACAGAGCTGTATACAGTGCTGTCAGTCCCTATCTGCGGACAGAGCTGTATACAGTGCTGTCAGTCCCTATCTGCGGACAGAGCTGTATACAGTGCTGTCAG